GGCTAGCCTCAGAGCGAAAGTGAAAGCCTGCCAGTGGGTCAAGGGGACGGTGAGGGAAAATACCACCAGGTGCCACGCACCCCGTTTTGCACAACCTGCCAGATGCTTTTGAAGTGCTATCTCATTGAACCTTCACAACAGCTTTGGGAAAGGAATTACTAGCCCATTTCACAGATGAAGAAACGGAGGCTCAGAGAGAACAAGCACCCTGCCGAGCTGGCACACGGTGAACTCGGGATTCAAACCCAGCTCTATGTACCTGCAAAGCCCGTCTCTTGCCACTTCATTATGTCCTACCATCTGGGGGCTGCGTGGGGGCATGTGGGCATGGTGCTAGCACAGGACCCAGGCTGGGCCCAGCTGGTTGGGATCGAGGACCTTCCTGGTCGTTGCTGAGAGAGAGGTGAGTGCTGAGGGCTCAGTCTCCATGCATCAAATGCTTCCTGAGTCTGTCACACACAAGACAGTGGGGGACAGGGTCCTGCCTTCTAGAAGCTCCAAAATGGCGAAGGGAGAGTGCGTAGGAGTGTGAATCACTGGGACAATCCCGGGCCATGGGCAGGGTGGTCCCATTTCCTTTCTGACCTCGCTTCCCCTGCATTTTTCCTCGCTGAGCTAGAGCATCCTGACACCTCGGTCTTCCGCAGGCAGACACAGCACACCCACTCCCGACCCAGGGCGTCTCCTAGAAATACTCCTCCAGATATCGGCAGGGCTCACCCCCACCTCCCTCATGTCTTTGTTCAGATGTTGTTATTTCGCTGAGGCCTGTGCTAAAGTGCCCCTCCCTCCCCACATACACATACACCCCCCTGTTTCCTTTCCCAGGCGCTTACCACCATCCAATGGGCTGGATGTTTGTTTATTGTTGTCTGTTTTCTTCACTAGAATGTGAGCTCTGTAAAGGCAGGATTTGGTCTGCTCTGTTCACTCCCGCAGAGCCCAGAACAGTACCGGGCACAAAGCGGGCGTTCAAAAAGTATTTGAGGAAGAAAGGAGAGGAGGGAGGGATGGATTGAACCCTGGGCCACAGGAGCTCCGAAGACACCGTCCACCTCCATTCAGAGAGGCCTTGGTGGAGGAGGGAGGGCACACTGGGGCTGGGCCTTGAAGGTGGAATGGAGTCCCCCTCCGTGGAGAGAGAAGCACGTGAGGAAGACGAATCTGCCTGGAGGTGACAGGCTGGAGGAGGGGCACCCAGAGGCAGGGAGACAGCCCACGAGGCCTGAACAAGGGTCAAGGGTCTAGGAGCAGAGGGACCATCCCTGGCCTTTCTTCTTTGGCCCCGCCCCCTCGATCAGGGTGGGCAGCTCCACTGGGCCGGACAGCGGGGACATCTGCTGCCCAGAGTTTCTGGTCTTCCAGGGTCTGGCGAGGAGGCGTTCGAGGTATACGTGTCGCCAGAGCAGCTGGTGGTGAAGCACGGAGAGTACTCTGAGATCAACTGCAGCACCAGCTGTCTGCAGCCCACTGTCAGCGGTTTGGAGACCACCCTAAGCAAGATTCTGCTGGAGAAGCAGCCTCAGTGGGAGCTCTACAGGGTCTTCAACATCTCCAAGGACACGGTCGTATATTGCCACTTCACCTGCTCTGGGAAGCAGCTGCAGAGGAATGCCAGCATCACCATGTTCTGTGAGTGCCTCTCACACGGCCCTCCTCCCCCAGCGCCGAGCCTGCTCCTGGTGCTCTGCTCCTCCCGGGCTCCTGGGGTGACAAGGAGCAGGACCGAGGCCCTGGGCTCAGAGTCTGCTCCCACCCTTCGCTGGCCTCCGTGGGCCTGTGGCAACCCCGCCTTTGAGGCTTGCTCAGAAGAGGGCGATCGCAGTGCTCACAGCCTCCTCCCCGCTCAGCAGCAGCCCCGTCCGGGGGACACCCCGTATCCCATGACAAGTGGTGGGGGCACCATCGGGAGGGCTGCATGCTCTCCAGGGGAGGTTGAGGAGTCCCCGGGTGCTTTTCTCTTCCCTTGAGGGCCCTCGGCAAATGTGGGACCATCACACACACACCTGCCCATGGCCACGGAGGCCCGGAGAGGCCGGGATTCTTCCAACATGTCGGCACTAAGGGTGCTGCTGGGATCCTCCCCATTAATGGATCAAATAAATGATGCCCTCGATCCAACATAGTATCCTGGTGTGATTGGGGTGAGATGTCTGGCTCAGAGGGAAATGCAGGCCGCACCCAGGGCTCCGTTGGATAAGGGATTGAGGGGGCTGTGAACCTGACCCTAGAGGATGAAGGCAGGTCTGACTTTGGCCCCCACCTGTTAAGTGAGAACTCACAGCTCATGCCCAGTTCCAGTGAGCGCTCCCTTCTAAGTCTCTCTGAACATAATTGCCCAACTGTTTAGTTTTTAAAATTCTGGAGAGGAAGGAGACAGATGCAAACATGTACATCTCTCTAGTTGGCTGCACAGTCTCTGACCCTCTCTTTGGAGACACCTAACCACCTCCATTCTTGTCCATGGCAGAACCCATCACGTTCGTAAAACTACCACCCGGCACACCCTTCACCCTGAACGGCCTCCTTCTTCCTCTCTCACACTCTGGAGCAGGCCAGGCTCCAGCCCCCACAAGTCCAGCTGGGGACCTGAGCACACGGTGCTGATAGGGGGTGCTCTTGGCTGGGTGGGCCCGCTGGGACCGTGCCCCCAACCTCCCCCACTTTCTCCCCTGCAGACCCCCCAGAGCCAGTGCTGCTGAAGCTGCAGCCCACTTGGGTGACTGTGGGCAAAGTCTTCACCATGGAGTGCAGGGTGCCGGCGGTGGCACCCCTTGAGAACCTCACCCTCACCTTGCTCCGTGGCCAGGAGCCCCTGCACGTGCAGAGATTTGAGGGGGCAACAGCTGCCCCCCAAGAAGCCATGATCACACACAACAGCACGGCTCACAAGGAAGACGGTCGCCACAACTTCTCCTGCCGGGCCGAGCTGGACCTGCAGCCTCGTGGTGGGGGTTTGATCCAGAGAACCTCAGAGCCTCAGGTGCTTGAGATCCATGGTGAGGAGGAGGCCCCCGCCTGCCCCGGAGAGGGGGGGAGGACAGGGCATTCACGTTAGGCCCTGAGGGAAGTCAGAACCTCAGCCCACTCTCTGCCAGCTCGGGGGGTAGGCAACAGGGGCCCCACACTGGGTCCTGCGAGGGGTCCCTCCTCCCTGAAGCTCTCTCCAAGCCCCAGCGTGGACCTGGACTAGTTGCTTGGCCGTTAGTGAGCTGTGTGACCTTGATCAAGTCAACCTCCTCTCTCTGGCTCCTCTCTACAATGAGAAGTTTGACCTAACTGACCCCTCAGGTCTTCTAGAACTCCACTGTTCTTTGATTCTTTTTGTTATTGTTAATCCTCACCTGAGGATATTTTCCAATGATTTTAGAAAGAGTGGGAGAGAGGGAGGGAAGGGGACAGAGAGAGAGAAACATTGATGTGAGAGAGACACATTTATTGGTTGCCTCCCGCGCATACACCCCGATCCGACCGGGAATCAAACCCACGACCCTTCCCTGCTCACCGACACCAGCCAGGGCGGTTCTGTGACTCTTGATGGCAGGTGTTCCCTGTCTTTAGCGAGTTTGGTAGAAACTCACTCGGCTCTGCCCAGGGAGGGGTTGGCGTGCCCTGTCCAGACCATGGTGCCCAGAGCCCACAGGCT